CTGACACTGACACTGACACTGACACTTACACTTACACTTACACTTTTCTCGAACGGATCTGGCTTGGCGCAGCCTCCGAATCGTGTGCTCCTCCTAATTAGTCATCCCAGCAGCTGAATGTTCTTGTTGGAGCCGAAGGAGTAGACGACGCAGGGCTTTTGTATGAGCCGAGCGCCGCACATCCACCTGTGGCACACGAATCATACGCTTCGGATGGCCTCGAACCAACAAGCTCCCCAAGGACCAAAGGAACAGAGGTGGCGAGGGAACCACCGAAATGAGCAGCTTGGGCGACCAGGTTTGGGAAACACGAAGGCGCCAATCTTTGTGCAATGCAGGGCGAGACTAGACAGCCATTATCGCTGTGCGTGCTGGACGTGCATGACAGAACAGCGTGCACCTTCATTCGAATTGCAAACGCCATGCCCTCGGGAACATCCTACACATTCTCTGAGAAAGCGCAAGCCTTAGAGCGCTTTAACTGTCTGCCGGAGAGGTACTTGTTGCCGTCTCCAGAACCGACGCCGACGTACTCCTACATGTCGTGCGATTGTAGTTACCTGGATATGCAACACAAGTCCTGAAAGCCAAGCTCTCACGACCTTGACCGAAACCCAAAGCTTTGCAATCGACGGCCAAGATCGCAGATACAGTTTCTAAGGATTCAAAGGCAACTCTGTGCTCGGGATGTCGCCGAGGTTCGAGCTGAGGGCTCAACAACAAATTAATAAGTAGGTAACCGTAAGATCACAGGTCATCTGAATTCTTTGAGAAACTCTGACTTCTCTAGCTGCCCACTGCGAAGTATTGGTTTGAATCGCTTCAGTTGCTGGTGAGAAGAGAAGCTGTGTTGCAGAAGGTAGTCAGAAAGAGCTTTTCGCTACACTTAGTACAAGAATTCGCACCAAGTCATTGGCATATCATTGGCATAGACTCTTCGGATTGATGTGGAATCTGCTCACAAGTTGGGTCTCAGCGGGGCTGCAACAAGAAAAGTTGGTGGAATTTGCATTCGGGCCACTGTTTGTTCCTCCCCCTCCCTGCGGTTGGTGTGTTGCCTCTTTCCTTCTGGTCTTCTCTTCTTGTTTCCAACACTATGGACCCTTTTATCCAATATTTGCTGCAAATGCAGGAAGCCCAAAAAGCAAAAGGGCAATTTGCACTCCTGAAACAGTGATGCAAACACGGGACACCTCAAGGCCCCTGAGGCTCGGGACCCTTGCACGGCTGCTGTGCGACCTGTCCTCGCCCCATATGCATGGCCAGTTAGCCATGTAATGGCTAAAGGCCGCATTGGGACGCCTAACATCAGATGATTTGCTGCAAACGTGATTGAGGCACAGGAAGGTATGCCGTGTTTGACTTATAGTATTCAAAAGATCTCGGGGGAATGCCACACTGTACGATTGGTCGTGTTGACAGGCCTTAACAGTTACTGCAGTGGGATCCTTCCCACTTGCCCAGGAACGAGACTCGTGTCAGTCGTGATTTTTCTCTCGTGAGCTGCGTGACGGCGAGCATGTCAGCGTACTTTGTGCGGCAAACAAACGATGCCCGACGTGTCTGGACACCCAACGTAACTAGGTCGTGTCGGTCAATGGCAAGACACAGGTGAACTGTGCTACCAAGTATCACATTCTTCTCCCTCCGCTGATACCAGTATTGGCTTTCTGCCATGCTCTCCTTGGCAATGCAAAGCATCCACAGGTGTCCCAAGCTAGCCGTGAAAATCAACGAAGGATCTGTGCTGAAGTGCCTTGCATTCATGCGAGCGGCTGAGTCTTCAAGCTCCGCCTACTGTACGTATTTATCTTGCAACAACTTCTTCTGTTATACTTCCCCATGGTCTCCGGGAAACCCTCAGGGACACGCCTCCGAAAAGCTAGGCTTGTCGGGGGCAAAGACCTTTGGTTCTATGCAGAAAGTATCGAGAAGCCTCCTAAACAGCAATTTTGTCAGAACCTTCCCGGGAACAGAGCACGGATTCTTTTAGAAACGGTGTCTTGCGGACCTCTCGAAGGACTCGGCTTCCGCCCATGAGGGAGAGAGCAATAGTGAGAGAGAGAGAGAGAGCGAAAAAGAGAGCGAGAGAGAGGGAGAGAGAGAGAGAGAGAAAGTGTGAGAGAGAGGAAGACCGAAAACAACTCATGCGCATTGTGAGTGAAATGCCTGAACACACTCACGGGCATAGATTCTTCGATGCGTTTAAGGGAAACAGCAAGAACGCTCAATGATGTGTAACGCCGTAACACGCCATGAAGTGTTTCTACCTGTGTGTGGGTGTGGTTACACACATACATACAGTTATATGATACCCCCAGGACCTACCTCCAAAGCTTGTTTACATCAACTTGCTTTGAGCTGTATGCGGTTGCGTATGTTCAGTACATACATATATATATATATATACATATATATATATATATATGGTTCCCCCCACCTGTAGATATATTACTAGATGCATGAGCATGTCTTGTCACTTGTCTTTATCAGCAAACACCTGCATTGAAACCGGCATTGAAAAAATGAGCTTCAGTGCACCCGGGCCCCAGGAACCAAGAACCAAAGTGCCCAGGACTCTTGAATCTTGGATCTTGGCTCCGTAGGCCCGGCTGCATTGAGATCTGCATTGAAAAGTGGATGTCAATGCAACCAGGCCGCAGAACCAAGAACCAAGATGCCCAGGACTCTTGAACATTGGATCTTGGTTCCGGGGCCCGGGTGCATTGAAGTTCAATTTCCCGATGCAGATCTCAATGCAACCAAGCCTACGGAAACAAGATTCAAGATTCGAGACTCCTGGGCATCTTGGTTCTTGTTCCTGGGCCCCGGGTGCATTGACATTCAATTTTTCCCCAATGCATGTCTCAACGCAACCAGGTCTACGGAGATCCACGATTTTCGTCCCGGGCATCTTGGTTCTTGGTTCCTGGGCCCCGGGTGCCTTGAAGTTCAATTTTTCAATGCAGATCTCCACGCAACCAGGTGTATGGAACCGAGATCCAACATTCAAGAGTCCTGGGCATCTTGGTTCTTGATGCTTGGTTCCGTTGGCCTGGTTGCGTTTAAGTTCAATTTTTCAATGCCGGTTTCAATGCAGACAGGCAGGTGGAAATCTTCTGACTGTTATTGACTATCATTTCCAATATTGGTGACTATATATTTAATATCTGAATCATGGCAGAACACGTCGGTTTGTCATGTTGATGGTCACATGGTCACTGCTGCACTGCAAAGCGAAAGCATGAGGGAACGAGTTGCTGTGCATGATTGGATGATTGCGCTCTCTATGTCTGACATGCCAAAGCTGTAGCTGATCGAAAACAACTGCTTCTGTACTCCTAACTCCCTCCGCCCCTGTGAATAACGAGGCGCCTTGGACGAAAGCTTGTCATCTCGTGAAGTTCAAGATGGCGAAGATAATGAAGACGTGCCGAGGTCGTTGAGCGTGGGGGTGGGGGTAGATATGTTAGCGACATCTGCGCGACGCAATCGCTCTGATGAGTGTGTTTACGGATACGGAGATGCGATGGAAAAGGGTTCCGTATATGTGCGTGCTATGGCTATGGAGACAATCACGACGTAAATGTACATCATATTCATATTCTGCAAGATGGTGACGTGAGAGAAAACGGAATGATATGATACAGACAAAGCTATCATGATATTCAGTTTTTGCAAAATCGGATTTACGATAGACAGCTGAATATGATGAAGCGACTAACAGTATCGTCGTATTCAGTTTATTTGTTGTGCTCTTATGCAACAACATACATATGCACAGTTAAGCATGTTTACATATAGCCCAGGGCGGTATAACCATATAAAACAACTTTGAAAATCCACAACACAAAACCCACTTTGATTTCAATGCTACTGCACAGGTTGGCCAGATGCACGACATCTGCGACTTTTTCGTGTGATCCCTTCCGCTAAGCTAGCAAGACTTTGTTGAAGGGGTAGTGTGTAGGAGCCCCTGGAGTCTGTAGGTTCCTTCTCCTATGGCGTCCGCAACGGCGTCGTCGAGACTACGTCACCCTCGCCTTGTAAGACCTTTTCCTGTGGGACGCTTCGAAAGTCACGAACCACTTCTTCTGCCTGTAGGACTGTAGAAGGCCCTCAAAGTCACCAGCCCGGTCTGACTGCAACACCGCCACCACGGCCACGGCCACCACCACGGCCACGGCCACGGCCACGGCCACGACCACCACCACCACCCCCACCGCCACAGCCACCGCCACCGCCACCGCCACCGCCACCACCACCACCACCACCACCGTCACCACCGCCACCACCACAAGGCTTGAAGAGAACAGCGGCACCTCTCCGAGGTGTCTTTGGTACCGCAGCCGAGGAAGACGAGGTGTCCCAGTATCACCGTCACGCAAGGGGGGGTGTTCCGAGCCCGTCTGCTGCTCTACCACGTCTTGAACTACACAGCAGAAATTCGCTTCTCTTGTCGCAGCAACCGCTAAAACTCTTCAAGTACGACGAGCTGAAGAAGTAGCAGGACCTGAAGAAGTTCCGCGACCTGAACCCGGAGCCGTAGCAGAGCCTGCCTACCCACCGATGACCGACTTCATCATATAACTTCATATACTCAGCAAGTATAGAGGAGAAAGTCATGGCCGGAGCTTTCAGATGCACCGTGCTATGTCCAGACGCATATGTGGAAAGTACACGATGTGGGGGGCAACCACCGGGTGCTATGCAAGCATGTCGGCTACCACCAGGGCCTCATGCGAGGATTGTTGAATATGCAGCAGTTCGTAGATATAATAGCCAAGGCAGCGGCGCTCGGCGTCAGACGGAAAACAGTCTTCTGCTTTTCCACATGCATAGCTGGAAAACATCGTACAGTAGTGTAGCGGCCTGTGCTTGCTGGCGGTACCTGTGTGAAAAATACGTGTCACCCTCGACCAGTATACAAGTGCAGCACTTGGAAAGTGGCACCTGGGCTAAAAGCACATGTGCTGGCATGCAAGGTGTGTGTGGCACCACTGCCGCATGATGCATGTGCAAAACTCGATGATATTTGGACTGTGCTGCCGTTCCGAAAGGAGGTGCCTGAAGTACATGTGGTCGAAATGTAAAAAAGTCACGACTCTCGCGCACATGGCAAAAAACTGGGTTTGCAGGTGTTTCCTCCTTACTAAGTAATGCTCGTTTTGTGCGTGTCATCCTTACAGTATGCATATATGCGGGTAGGTAATTTTAACAACATCCAAGGAAAACACTAGCACACTCTCCCAGTACGTGGAGGCAGGCGGGGTCTGGGTTTATAGTAGCACGGTTACAAGCAATACTTAAAATTATTATTTATGCTTTATGGGTTGTAGAGCAAGGTTACAACCATACTTAATGAAACTAGTTAAATTTTATGGGTTCTAGGTGGGATGGGATCTTATAGGTATTCATCGCGCTTCGTGGGGATCAACATCTTCGGATTTTGGGTTTTAGTTGTGTCTTTGCAGCCGGAAGTCTTCTGAGCTCTGGACAGGGATAATACTTACTTCAACCAGTTTTCGTTGGTTAGGGGTCGCAGTAGCAAGCTTAAACGCAATCTTTACCAACATTACTTATGCTTTATGGGTTGTAGTGCAAGGTTACAGGCAATACTTATTGAAACTATTCATGTTTGATGGGCTGTAATATGTATCTAGTGTGATTCGCACGAGCAAGACTAGAGATAACACGTACTTCGAATAGTTTTTGAAGTGTAGGAGCCACCGTAGCAATCTTAACAGCAATACTTACTAAGATTGTTAATGCTTGATGGGTTGTAGAGCAAGGTTACAAAAGAAAGGCCGTAAGGTAGGTCTGGGGGGGTAGCATATACGGTATACATATATATGTACACCTACATACACCTAGTTTTTTAGTGTACGTATGCTATTTAGTTACTCTTTCCGCATATTTACATCCATACAGTATGTTGATTGGGGCAGAACTTAGTTTCGAAATCTGTTGCAGCATGTGTGATGAACCTATACTGAATTGGATTCAGACGGTGGACGAATAAATCGCTCTTGCACATGCTTTCTGCTGTATTCGTCTAGTTCCTGCATTCCGCAATCTCCGTCTGCCCTTTCCCCCATCATCAATAAATGGAAACCATACTCGAAAGTGTTTGAATCTCCTCCTACTACGGCATATGTGGATGCACTATCGCATGTCAGTCTGGCCCTGGACAATTATGTTTTTCTGTGCTCGCATATTTCGGGCAACTTCGCGCAAGTCAGAATGCCGGCAAGCCAAACCAAGGTTAACAAGAAACGGACACCAAGCGGACAACCTAGCAAGATGCAGAAGCCAGTGCACCACCCCAGACTCTAGTCCAGCCAGCCGCAAGCG